ACCCACGAGCATTTGGGCGGATGCCCCCCCTCGCCTGGGGGGAGGGAGGCATTTTCACCGCCCATACACCTCTCTCGCAGAGGTATGATTCGCATCTTGCACCCGTAACTTGTTCCGATTGCTAGGGGAGCAAGAAATGGCATAAACATGATCTTTCGGGGGTCCGCGCGGATTTTCTCGGATCTGCGGTGGAGCCCCTTGGCGGCGCCTGAGGCCCTTCCAGAACAAGAATACTATAGTGTTGCGCGTTTCGCGTCCCATGTGTGTTCTCTCCAAGCAGATTCGATAGTGCCACATATCACTTCGGATGCAACTCCTGGGAGATCAAATTCTAACCTTGCCCTGGTCCGAAATCTGGCTCAATCCGGCTTGATCCCGCCAAATCCGGCTTAATCTTGTCTAATATGGTTGAATCCCTTTTAATCCGCGGCCTAATTCGGCGTAGCAGCCCCCCAGAAAGGCTTAATCCTCCTCAATCCTTCCGGCGAAGACCTCCCAGCAGCGATAGTTTAACAGCACATATGTAATATGTATACATGGATTTCTTCCGTGTGCGTCAGATTTGTCTTTGGATTCCTCGCCGTCGTCTCCCTTTGTGGGGGGCGACCACCCTGCGCTCCCGACTCCCCGCCTTCTCCTCTCGCCGTACGAAAAGATCACAGGGGCGGGCTTCGGGGAGCTTCTCATCCACCGTGGAGCCAGCGTTTTGGCTCCCCAGGGCTTCTGAGCTCCTCTGATAGGGGAACAAACAAGGGCATAAACATAGAAACTCTGAGGCGGATTCCTCGGATCGGCGCTGGGACCCCCTGGCGGCGCCTTCGGTGCCGCCCCTGGCGCGCTCAACGCGCCATGGAGGGGGGTCCAGCGCCGATCCGAGAAATCCGCGCGGACCTCTGAGTTTTTATATTTTCGTCATTGTTCGTTCCCCTATCTGAGTCCTCTTCCGATCGTCTTGTGGGCGTGTTGGTGTACTCCTGCGACTTGAGTTTGCAATGCCCCGTTGACAGCGGCACGCGAAGCAGAATTTCAGCATTTCTCAGAGTGTTCGGGCCTGGCATGCAAGATGTAGTCGTGGGTCGTCATCGGATCACTCTGACAGGACGCCGACGCCGTCATGCGTGTCATTTGTCGCTCTGCCATGTGTGGCCAGTCCTGTCTGACCCCATCACTCGTCACGGGGGCTTTCTGTGCCAACGTTCCCGGGGGTTCTACCATCATGTGCTTCCTTTGCGGTGAAAGTCTCGCACGATCTGCACGTGGCGCCTGGGGGGTCTTCGTTCGATTCGGTCCCCTGCCTTCCGTAGAGTCGCCCACCCCTTGCCATCTCGATTTGAGTGCCGCCAGTCTTCTCGCTGTCAGTGCCATGTCTTTCATTGTGTATCGCCCTTATGTGAAATGAGATGTCTCCCCTCCTTCCTGTTTATTATAGCATTTTCTCCACTATCCTTCCTTGTGTTTCTTCCGCTCTCTCCACATTCCTCTCCTTTCTTTGCATTATCCACCACTGCTCTAACCCATTTGCGCCTTCAACGGACGCCGTGCTCAAGGGCTCAAGCGCCGCGGGCATTCGCAGGTATAGTATCAGCGGTCAGTCGCAGATATCGGCTGCATCGGAAGCAGCAATTCGAATTCAGGACTGCATGCCACCGGCTGCCCTGACTCCTCGATTCGCACAGGCCACGTGCAGGATCTCATGCACAGCATAAGGAGTGTTCGGTCACGCTACTCCGAGTCGTTCAATCAGCGCGGGGGGGTGGATCGCGTGGGCCGTAGAGTGTGCCTGTCGGGCTCGGGGTGTGGGAAGGTCAGATCGCGTGAGGGGGTGGGTTCGGCGCTCGTGGGGGGCTGGAGCCACCCGGTGGGTGGCATGGGGGGATGTCTATGAGCAGTTCGGAGCAACCCATTTCACGCTGGGCGCGCGTGGTCGGCGTGGTTCTGCAGAATCTCCTCCTCCTCCTCCTCCTCCCCCTCCTCCTCCTCCCCCTCCTCCTCCTCCTCCTCCTCCTCCTTCATGCCCGCCAAGGCCCATTCTGGACCCGAGGACGTCTCGAGGGAAGCAGCGCGATGACCGTGGCCAAGATGCCGCGGGATCTCGTCGACGCCGCCAGTGGTCATGGTCCATGCTGGCCGTCGATAGCTCGCGAGGGCGACCAGCGGATTGACCATGACCAAGATGGACGACGACAAAGATCGGCACCGATGTCTCCGCGTTCAGTCCTGGACATGGTCATCGTTTTCTTTTCGTCCATCGTCCCACGATTGACTTTTGTCCAGCGGGCCTTGCGTGATTATGTTCGAGAGGCCAGTGGCCCCTGTGACGAGGAGGCTGGGTTCCTCCGAGGACAGGCTCGTCACGGACGTCCCATCCGTTCATCGAGGACCCCCATCCTGAAGAGACGTCTCAGGCGATGCAGATGCACCGGAACTCAAAGCAGCGTGGCGTGAAGCACAGCATCACAGAGCTACGCAAAAGTGGTCATCGCACGGCAGCTCAAATCGATGTCACGCAGCACAGTGCACAGCAACTCAGAGAGCGGTGTACGTTGAAGCGGCACGCAGCGAAGGCAAACCAGGCAGCGGCGAGGCGCACGCAGCGAATCAAGACAGCGCAGTTCAAGCAAACCAAACCCGTGCAGCACAGAACGGATCCGTGTGCAGCAAAGCAACAAACACACCTGCAGAACTGAGGCGCTGTGCGCTGCTGTGCACCGAATCGCAGACAAAGTAAGCACACATACACACACGCACACACACACTCTCACACACACGCGCGCACTGGCTCACGCACACACATACATACACACACTCACACACTCACACACACATGCATAGACGCACACACTCATACACTCACACAGACGCACATACACACGCACACACACACACACACACGCACACACACGCACACACACACACACACGCACATACACACATACTCCGCACACATACACTCACACCATTTCTGCCAATAAGGTCCGCAGTGTGCCAGGCAACGATCGCAGCACGAGGCAATCCAGCACAAAACACCACCACCGCACATGACGGTGTGTCCCGCTTCGCATACTGTATTGGCTTTAGCGTGGCTTGAGTTCAAGCTTGACGCTTGTCGTTTGTCTTCGACGCAGCTTGTCTGAAGCGGACCTTTTTAGTACGACGAGAACTCCCAATCGGGGTCGCGCGAAAGTCTTCGAAGGGTGTGGTGGTGGGGTGGGTTGGGTGGCGGGGGTAGAAGAAGTGAGCAGGGAGGCGGAGGGATGAGTGCCAGAGGGTTCCTGCTCAGTTGACACATTTGCACATTTGCTGAATATGGGGTCAGTGAGGCTCGTGGGTGGTATCACTTCTTCGTGCCTCCTTTCTCCGTCCCTTCTCCTGCGCGTCCTCCCTCCCTCCTCTCGCCTTCTCCATTTCCCTTCTCCTCCCCTCCTCCCCTCCTCTTCCCCCCTCTACCTTCCAATCCCTCCTTCTCTTCTGCGTCTCTTCTTTCCCTTGTTCTCATGATCCTCCCCCCGCAGGACGTAGTAAGACCAGCGGGTCCGTCCCCTGCTAGGCATTCGATTTTACAAAGAATGCGTTCACGAAGCCGGTAGCGTAGTGGTAGACGGTTGCAATTGCGATGGTGGTGGTCAGAGCGATAGAACCAGGCCTCGCTGGGGCCTGGAGGAGGATAGGGAGGAGGAGGAGGATAAGGAGGAGGGAAAGGAGGAGGAGGAGGGTGTGGAGGAGGGGGAGGAGAAGGATGATGATGATGATGATGATGATGATGATGAGGAGGAGGAGGAGGAGGAGGAGGAGGAGGAGGAGCAGGAGGAGGAGGAGGAGGAGGAGGAGGAGAGAGGAGGAGGCAGAGGAGACGAGGGAGGTCGTCGCGGACATGTTGCTGTTGGAGCTTCTTGGAGACGTCGTGGAGCCATCTTAAGTCTTTCTCGGCAGGTTTTTGGCCCCTTCTTGGGGTTCTTTTGGGTGAGCATTGGGGTCCTCTTGAGGCGATTTTGAGCCCCATGGCCCATGGGGGGGGGGCTAATCCGGCCCGCCGGAGGCATAACAAATGCCTCTTGGAGTGCCTTTGGGGGCCTCTTGTCTTGGGGGGCCTCGTGGGCCGTCTTTGGGCCCCACATGTCCCTCTTACATATTCCCCCACCCTCGCCCCAAGACCCCCGGGGAGGGGATAGAGGGAAGGGTACACGCTGGTCGTTGAAAGTATTTTTTTCCGGATACCCACGGCCCAAGCTACTTTAGGCGCCTTCCTACTACAAGAGTCGATTGGTATTCCTTCTGCCCTCGTCCTTGGGGGGCGGGCTGAAGCCCAATCTACTTTCAATGCCTTCATGCTTCTACCCACTGACCGACGGGCAAGCCACTCCCAGGAACCTCCCGAATAGGGGAGAAGGGGGCTTGGAAGAGGGAAGGGAGGACCCGCTAGACCACCTACGCCCAGAGGGTTGGTGGGATTATGTGGGCGATGGCAGCTACAATTGCAAGGGCGGCTGCATTAACAGTCAGTGAGGGGTGTCCGAGCGGTCTCATTGCATTCCTGTGCGCGTGGCCTGAGGGGCTTCTCGGCCCGGGAGCGGTCGCGCCAGACGGGCGCGTTGGGCGGGCGCGGTGGGTAGGCGCACCAAGAGGGCACGCCAGGCGGGCGCCTCCGATCGGGCACTCTCGGCGGGCGGACTATAGGCGGGCAACGCCGAGGCGAGCAGCGGCGCCCGACGGCCCGAAGCAAGACGAGGAGCACAGCACATGGGTGGCCCCCTTCCGCACCTGCGGAGCACTACGTGCTTGTACTGCCATGTTTGCGATGGTGGTGCTAATGGTGGTTGCAGTAGATCGCATGATGCAGTGGATGATCATGCGCACGTCCTCAGCTATACAACACTCTTGTCAGCAGGAGCGGCATCAATTGCAGCAGTGATGGTACGTCGGTGGTGGGTCATGTGGCGGTCCTCCCGGCAAGCCTCCGCGGGCGAGGACACAATTCGCAGAATCCCAGTGGCGTTGTCGGCATGGCGGAAGGCACAATCGACACCAATTTGTACAGCCGGCAGATCGGCACTTTCGGCATGGAGACCATGGGGAAGTTGATACAGATGAAAGTTCTCCGGTCGTGCCACGCACGTTCGCAAGGTGGAGCGCACCATAGGATGGTCGTGATCCCGAAGAGTGATTATGTTCAGCAGATGCGGCACCATGTTTGTTGTGCAATCCGCGTTGTGCACATGCATATATATATATATACATACATGCATGCATATGTACATAGAGGTTCGTATGTGTGACTGTGGGTGTGGGTGTGCGAGTGTGTGTGTGTGTGTGCGTGTGCGGTACATTTGTGCGGTTCAAGTTTCGTTGCGTAGGTCGTACGTTGCAATGCGTTCAGGATAATATACGCGGTCCGATTTGCGCGGTGCAAGCTATGCAGTGCAATCTAAAACACTTGCGGCCATTCTTTGGTTGTGCTACATTGGCGGTGCAAGGGATTATGATCAAGCTAGAGGGTGAGACCATGATGGGTGTGACCCTCATTCTAGACGCTTCGCGTAACCCCACCAGCCCATCCAGAAATGATGCCCAGGCGAGTTGTCCTAATCAGGGATGTGGAGGAGCATGCCGTGGAATAAGTGGTTTGGAAAGCCGTCATACCCCCAGGGGGAGGAGGACGGAGGACGAGGAGGAGGAGGAGCAGGAGGAGGAGGAGGAGTTGGAGGAAGAGAGGAAGGACGGGGAGGAGGAGAGGAAGGAAGGGGAGTGGGAAGGAGGAGGGAGAAGGAGGAGGAGGAGGAGGAGAAATAGGCGGATGAGGAAAAGGAGCACGAGGAGGAGAAGGAGGATGAGGAGGAAGGGCGGAGGATGGCGAGCAGAACGGCCTCTTGCCTCTTGGATACCTCTCGGAGTCGCTTCGGATGTCTCCGGGGGCGTCTCGGGTGCCTGGGGGAGTCTCGGGGAGTCTCTGAGAGCTTCTTGGGGGGCTCTTCGGGGTGCCTCCGGGGCCTGGACGCCTCTTGGGGTCGTCTCTGGGCACCCTTTGGGAGGTTCGGGGGCCATCTTGATGCCATCTCGGAGCAGATCGACCAAATGAGGGGGGCTCCTTTTACCCCCCCCCGGAGGCCAAACTGTGGCCAAAACCTTAGCGACATCAGTGATGCTGGCTTCCTCGCCGAGGCCATCTTGGGCGCTCCAACGACCCGCGACCCCCCCCCCTTCCAGGTCCAGGGGGATGGGATAGGAGGAGGGGTAAGCCCCTCCCCGAAGGGGAAGAGGGAAGACGGAAGAGAACACTCTCTCAACCATTCACGACCTAACGGGTTGGTGATGGCGTGGTGGGGCCATCTTTGCCTCGCAGTCTTTGCGCTGGGATCCTCTGGGATGGGTCCGCGTGGCGTGGGGCCCGATGACGTGGGCATTTGCGGGGTGGAGCTTCGTGTGCTGGGTACCTGCAGGGTGGGACTTCTCAGTGTGGGACTCCAATTCCATGAGGTGGAACCCTGTGGTCGGGATGGCCCTCCGCCTGGAACGGCAAGGCGCAGGGGGAGGGCAAGTACGAGACCGTTGGTGGCACTGGTCAGTGAACCACGGCGCACGTTGTCCCCGCAACCAGCCTGAATCCCACCCCCCTTTTTCTGTCCTCTCTCCTCGTCTCTTTCCCCTCAATCTGACGCCCTGTTATGAGCAACGTCCCCCCCCCACCCCTCCGCGTTTTGGTTTAGCTCGCGCTCAAAATGTCAGGGTCTGATGTGTCCCCCGTGTCTGTCCGCTCGGACAGCCTCTTCTTGGCCATTCCGAGGGACGCTCTCGCCCTGGCTTGCGCCCTGCCGAACTCTGACTCCCTCCACGCCTCACTGCGCGTCCGACAGGCAAGACGCTGACTGAAGTCAGGGCCACTCTGGGTTCGGGAGTGGCTCTGGTTTTCGGGCCGTTCCGTTGAGACCTAGTCGTGGCCGATGTTCTTCGTGGCCAGACAAAGCGTTTCCGTTCCTCGTGCAGCGTTCCCCATGACAGTGCGATGACTCTAATCTCCTCTCTGTATCGGGATATGCCAATTTTCCACATCACCGTTCTTGACTGCGCCGGCATTGGGCCCGGGATCGGTGTAGCGTACGTGCCTCTCTAACTGATCGTCCTGGTCTGCTTGTTGTCGTGCAAAGTATTGTTAAAGGTTGCGTGTGTTCTTTAGTCTTGCGCTTTTTGCGTACAGAGTTCTTCTGGTTGCGACATCTTTGACTCATATTTTCACTGCTTCATGTTATCATTGCGTTGTTCGAGTCGTGCGTTTGTGTTCTGACAGCAGTTCGCGGTACGACTACACGCATACCAGGACGGTCAGCCCCTGTTCAAGCAATCCACCCACAATTTCACCGCGGAGGAGACGGACAGAGGAGGATGAAGAGGGAGATATTGTGTGTTCGCCGAAGGGCTTGGGCCCAGAGAAGGAGGAGGAGGAGGAGGAGGAGGAGGGGGAGGAGGAGGAGGAGGGGGAGGAGGAGGAGGAGGAGGAGGAGGAGGAGGATGAGGAGGAGGAGGAGGAGGAGGAGGGGGAGGTGGAGAGGGAGGGGGAGGGGCTCAGAAGAGGAATCGGAGGAGGAGGAGGAGGAGGGGAAGGATGAGGAGGAGGAGGAGGAGAAGGAGGAGGAAGCAGAGGAACAAGACGAACACGAGGAGGACGAGAAGACGAGGACGACGAGGAGGAGGAGGCTGAGGAAGAAGAGACGGAGGAAGAAGAGGATGAGGAGGAAGAAAACGAAGAGGAGGAGGAATATGAATACTTAGAGAGTAATAGTCAGACGAATAATAAGACCACCAAGACGACGACGGATAATACTAATACGAATACTAGGAAGTAGACTACGAAGACAAATCACAATAATACGCTGACTAATAAGTGGACTAATAAGAGGAGGAAGAGGGGAGGAGGAGGAGAAGGAGGAGGAGGAGGAGGAGGAGGAGAGAGCAGCCGTTTGAGTGTGGTGCCAGAGCAGAGTGAAGATGAAGATGAGGATGGTGCTACTGGCGGGCGGGCATTTTGCAAAGGTCGCCCGAGTCCAGTGTCTCACCGCTGGCGCTTGCACGCACGCGGCATCTCTCCGACCTCCCGCCTGCTTCCATAGTCGGGTGTTGCTAGAAGCGCCCCTGGCCCAAGGTGGCCCTAGGGTTTCCGAGGAGGCCCCCCACGGCCTGCAGAGCACCCCTCACGAGGCCCAGAGGGCCCCAGGGGTTCCAAATCTGCGCGAAAAGCGGAGCGCATCTTGGCGCAGGGACACCTAAGTAACCCCCGACACGGAGCCGTGGCGTCGCTTCGTTTTGCTGGAGCATTTCTCGTTGCTCGCTGCCTGCGTGGTCGATCGCGCACTACGTATAGCCTGACACTCGCAGGGGGGGCATTCAGCTTGCACCGTATCCCTCACTCTCGTTATATTGTCTGCTATCGCCTGCCCATTCATGAGATGATTTGCGCAGGTTCTGATCTCGGGGTTGCGCGGGCTCGGCGCGGAGATTGCAAAGAACCTGATTCTGGCAGGGCCAGCGGCAGTGGTGCTTCATGACGAATCGTTGGTGGCCGCCTGCAGGGGATGAGGGAGACCAGGCAGAAACGTAATCGTGCAATGGTGAGGTGCTGACGGGCCATGGTTGGCGCAGGGTAGTCGGTTTCTCCATGTCCGTGTTTCTAAGGCACGATGGCCATACGGGGCATGGTGTCACCATCCCCGCATCGAGAAGAGAGGTGGTGGAAGAGCTTGTGAGTGGATGGAGAACAGGGAACACAGAATGAGAAGCCGGGGGCCAGGAGAACAGTGACCCAGACGAGCGAGTCGGGTGGGCGGGCCCCAATTGGCGGTCGGCGGGCGGGACATTCAAGCGTGCAGGTGGGCCTCCAAGCAATCGTGCAAGCGGACGTCACAGCGGGCGGAGCGGGCGGGCATATCCTCACGGGCGGGCCGGGCTGACACACCCTGGCGGGCGGGCACATTTTCCTCCGCCTATCCTTGCCTTCGACCTCCCTTTCTTACCCGTGGGTCGCCCGAAGGGCTTTCGGGGATAACGAAAGCGTTGCGCGTCGCGGCCACGTTGCCGAAACGCCGTCCTTCCGCCAGGGGTGGCCGCGCAGGGGCGCATCGACGACCGCGCGGGGAGCGCGACGGTCACCGCGCGCCAAGCGGCGCGCGGCGCAATGTTCGGAGTTTGTGTGTGTGTGTGTGTGTGTGTGTGTGTGTGTGTGTGTGTGTGTGTGTGTGTCTGTGTCTGTGTCTGTGTCTGTGTCTGTGTCTGTGTCTGTGTCTGTGTGTCTGTGTCTGTGTCTGTGTCTGTGTCTGTGTCTGTGTCTGTGTCTGTGTCTGTGTCTGTGTCTGTGTCTGTGTCTGTGTCTGTGTCTGTGTCTGTGTCTGTGTCTGTGTGTGTGTGTGTCTGTGTGTGTCTGTGTGTCTGCGTGTCTGCGTGTCTGTGTGTCTGTGTGTCTGTGTGTCTGTGCGTGCGTGAGTCCGTGCGTGCGTGTGTGTGTGTGTGTGGCCTGCCTTGTCCTTCCCCATTGGGCGCCCCCGCCCCTCGTCCTCCCCCCATCGCCCCTCTTCCCTCCCTCCCCCCTCGCCCCTCCTCGTCCCCTTGTCCCCTGCCGATACGCCCGTGGGCGTACGGCCACCTGACCTAACGTGACCTGACCCGAACCTCTTTCCTCTCCTCGGCGGGCAGGAGTGACGTTTACATCCAGGGCATCTCGGACTCTCTTGGAAGGGGCGCCACAGGGCCGAGGCGCACTGGATGCGGATAACAATCGAGCCTGTGGGGGGGCCAGATGTTTACCCATATCCAGTGCGCCTCGGGCTTCTGGGGACGGGAGCCCGACACTCTTAGCTGCAGTGGACATGGACACAGGTCTTGCCCGCATCTTTTTCCTTAGGTCAGCCGTGGGATCGGAATCTCGCAGCGTCGGTCGATCGCTATCGGACCCGCTCCCCGCGCATGCGTGAAACTTGGGCGCAGTGGGCAGCAGGAAGGACGAAATGACGTGGTCCGAGACAGCTCGCCTGCATTCTCCTCTCGGGCCGGACGAAAGGGTAAGACAGGGAAAGGGGGGTTACGAAATTTGCTGCATGCAGCCGGTTTCCGCCCCGCCGCCGGGCCCATCCCTCGATGCACGGGCGCCTCCCAGCGCCAGGAGCCACGTGAGCTGATTCTCTACCCTGGCCTTGTCGGCCACGCGCAGAGGGGGAAGGCTTCCGTGGAGCACCCTGCTTCCTAGAAGGCGCGGGCCTTGCCTGGAGGTGTAGGGCCGGCGCCTGCCACGAAGCAGCCTCCTTCTCAGAAGCCTTCTCCCCTCCCCCTGCCCCCTCACGCGCGCCGCCAACCTTGCCATCCTACCCTTCACCCCCCCCCCGATCCTCCCTTCCCGGCTGGCATCCTTCCCAGCCGGCATCCAGACCCAGGCGTTGTGATTTGTTTTTGTCCCGAGGGGGTTTGCCTCGCAGGGGTGACATGGGCCGCAGCGGCCCGCCCGCGCGGGGCGCGCGTCCTGCCCCCGGCGTTCAGTCGGGCGTGGCCCTCCACAGGAGGTAAGGTCCAAAGTAGTGAAAAAATAGTCTGGGGCCGATTGTGCTGACTAGTTTTGACTTTGTTTGAGCATCTTCTGCGTAGTTTCTATTTTTCATCCAAAATCCGCCTGTAGGAGGAGACGCCCGACCTGACCCCAGCGGGGGGGCCGCGCAGCAGCGGCGCGTGGCCCTTCGCCGGCCTCCAGCCTGCCCTCCTCGCGGGGCAGGGCGGCCATGGGCTTTCGGGTACCTTCGCTCACCGAGGGCGTTCCTCCGAGGCGGGAATTTATACATGACCACCTCCTGGAGGGTCAGTTTTCGGAGCCTCGGCAGGCGGTGGATATGGGCAAATTCGGGCTTCTGGGGGCCGAAACATATATATATATATACACATTCATATCCACCGCACGCTGGGGCACCAGGACGTCGGTTCCCAGGCGGTGGATATGGACAAATCCCTGCCTCGCAGTTCCACTTCTCTCGCACAGTGCCTATTCGCAAATGTCCGAAAGAACCACGTCGTCCTCTGTAGAATGGAGCGTACACCCCCCGCGGCGGACGTTGCCCCTTTGCGAGTAGCTACTTCGCGAGCAGTGGAACGCCCTCGTGGAGTCGCGCACTCCGGGCCCCTCGCCTCGCGCCGCGGCGGGCCCCCTTCGCCGGCCGTCGGCCCCCTCCTGGCCAGCCGAAGGGGTGGGGGGGGGCGCGCTGCAGGGCGATTCGGCGGAGGCCAGGTCCAGACGGGGTCGGCCCATGCGGAGTGTTCGGTCTCCGCAGGGGCCCACTCCGTCTGGACTTCTTCTCTCCTGCACGATCCCCTCCTGGCACCTGGCACCTGCACCTTTGCCACGCTCGTTGCCTATCATTTCCAGACATATGCTCTGTACGCTTTGCGTATCCCCACCAACCCGCTCATAAGCGTTGCACAGAGAGTTGACAGAAAGAGAGACGAAGAGACACATATAGTGAAACAAAGCGGGTGACCAGGACCAGGATGACGCAAGTGGGGTGGCCTTGGAGGGCCTCTTCGGGCCATCCCTGGGCCTGCGTGGCGGCGAGGGGAGGAGGAGGAGGAGGAGGAGGAGGAGGAGGAGGAGGAGGAGGAGGAGGTCTCTCTTGCGGCGTGCTGCGGGATTGACCTGTCAGAGGTTAAGGAGGCTCCAGAGGAGGAGGAGGAGGAGGAGGAGGAAGAGGAGGAGGAGGAGGAGGAGGTGGAGGAGGGTACGATCTTCATGGCGACCACTACCAAAGTACCATTCGTAGCAGCCATCTCTGCCGAGTCGATCATCAGACAGACCCCAGAATATCGGTACATCGCCAACCTGACGACCGTTTACGAGACCCCGACGAACCACTACGACCTCGGCACCATACAGATCCTCGACAACGGCACCCGCGACGACCTCCGCAACATAATGCACACGGCAAACGAAGAGGAGATCGACTTCACCATTGCCGACCTGCTCGACGGCAACATGGTGGCCAGATGGGGGCTCAGAACAGCAACCGCTGCTCCTACCAGCCAGAACATGAACACCAACGACGCCTACTACATTGAACGAGAAGACGAAGTGCCGCCTCATGCCGAAGACGAACGCCACGAAGAGTGTCACCGACGACAAGTTCAAAGGCGTCAGGACGCAAGTCCTGAGGAAGCCCCGAGTGCGCGGGAACACCTCAGGCAGCGCCGCCAAGTTTTGCAAGAGGCGTTGGGACGCAAGTCCTGGGGAAGCCCCGAACGCGAGGGAACACCCCAGGCACAAGTCGCCACGTTTTGTAGTATTGCTGAAGGCAGCGGCAGCTCGTGCAAGAGGTCATCGGGTACTTGCGAGCTGCATCACGCACCTACTCCACTCTTGCCAAGCACCACCGACCAGAGGTACGACCTACCACACCACGCCACAAGTCAACGCTGCCATGGTGAGGCAAGGATCAAACTTCGAGACGGGCTCGAAGGGTGGGGGGGGCAGGACGAGCACTGCCCGCGCCTACCAGGGGGGATGGTGAGGGGCAGGGGGGGGTAGGACGGCCACTGCCCGCGCCCCCGCGGTCCGCCCTAGCTCGCCACCCCCCACCATCCCCATGGCGAAGGGGGAGCTTACCCGATCGCCGACGCGGCGAAGCTGAAGGCAGCAGAGACATCCCCCACCGACGACAGCAGCAAGCACCAGGCCGGGGGTTCGCCCCCACCAAGGGCACCGTGACCCCTAGCCATAGCGGGACGAGGTGGGGCCGCCACGGACCCCACTTGAAGTCGGTGCATGGAGGCCTCTCATGTGCGCCCATAACCCACACCACAACCCCAGCAACAATACGCTTCCCCCACGACCTTACCATAGACACTCAAGACGACCATCTACAACCTATGGGACTCGCCACCGACCGATCACCCACCCCGCAACCACCACCCACCCAACCACCATCACCACCTCGATACCACCAGCCCACTGAAAGGAGGACAGGAGCAGGGTCCTCAGCAGCGCGGCGCGACTCAACCATGACAGTGCCTGCTGAAAGGAGGACAGGAGCAGGGTCCTCAACAGCGAGGCTCGACGAGCACGCCATGGAGACACCGAAAAGGAGGACAGGAGCAGGGTCCCCAGAACCAATCTCCAGCAGGCACGCCCGCAGTAAAGGAGGACAGGAGCAGGGTCCTCAGTTGCGAGGCACTACAAAGACAATCAACCCCAGAACCTCCGCCTCATCAACAACAACCACCACCTCGACTTGACCAGCCCGCTGAAAGGAGGACAGGAGCAGGGTCCTCAGCAGCGTGGCGTGGCGAGCCTACCACAACCTTAGCTGAAAGGAAGGCAGGAGCAGGGTCTTCAACAGCTCTGAAGATCGTGAAAGTAAAGGGGCCGCCCACAAGGAGGACAGGAGCAGGGTCCTCAGAAGCGGTGCTCAGCACGCACGACGTCTCAGAGGAGCCCACGCAAAGTGAAGGAGGCGGCGCACCGTGCGCCGCGGCGAGGCCTTCCCCAGCCCTCGGGCCGAAGGGGGGAACGGCCCGCCCCCCGTGTAACATACGGGGGCCGCCAGCTCAGCCGAGCTGCATAGCGGCTAAAGAAGGTCGGGCGCCCCTCAGCTCGCGAGCAAAGGAGGGGCGTCCGTCGCAAAGAAGTTCGTGGAGGACGAGTTCGGGGCCCACCTGAGGCCGTCGGACTGACGGGCTACGCCGCGGCGGCCGCCGCCGCTGCATAGAGCCCTCACTGAAAGGGTTCGCTGAAAGGTGGAGGAGGAGGAGGAGGAGGAGGAGGAGGAGGAGGAGGAGGAGGCGGCAAATCGTCTCTTTGGGCCCTAGTGGGGCGATCTTGGGGCCGTCTTGGGGCCTTCTTGGGAGCCCTGGAGGCCCTCTTGAGGCTATCTAGGAGGCTATCGATCAAAGGGAGGGGGGTCCCGTTGTTTGTCCCTCCCCCCGAGGCCATCAAAATCGCATATGGGGATCCTCTTGGAGCGTTCTTGGGCGCTTTTGGGGCCGTCTGGGGCCCCCCTGGGCCCCTCTTCGGCATCTTTTGGGCCATCTCGAGCCTCAAAAGCGCCTCGGAAGCGAAAAGGCGAAAAGTCAACTATCATTGATTCCCCCGATCGTTTTGACGGATTTTGGCTGTTGGGGGGGATGCTCAGGGGGCTCCCAGAGCATGTGGAGTCGTCTTGTGGCCCTCGGTTGGCCTCTTGAGGGTATGTCGGCAGCTATTTTGAACCATCTTCGGTTATCTTGAACCGCTTTGGAGGCCATCTTGGAGCATCGGACGCCATGTTGGCGCCACCTTGTGCGAAAAAGGACTCCCCAACACACCGCGACCCCCCCCCCTCCCCCTAAAAAAAAAACGGTGAAGAGGGGAAGGGGGAAGAAAAACTTGTCCGACCTCCTTGGCTCAAAGGGCTGGTCATATTCCATGCCTAAGACGCGTGCCTGGATCACTTCAGGCATGCGACTTTACTACCGTGCACACCGTTTCCTCCATCATCCTTGACGTTGCGTCTGAATCGTCGCGTTCGCCGAGAGGAATTCTGTGAGAGAGAGAGAGAGAGAAGGAAGGAAGGAAGGAAGGAGATAGAGACAGAGAGGGCGATCGAGAGAGAGAGGGAAAGAATGAGAGAGAGATAAAAAGAGAGGGGGAGGGACAAAGAAATATATATATATATATATATATATATATATATACATATTGAGAGGGAGATAGTGACGACAAGGATACGGGAGGTGATGGAGGAGCAGGAGCGTCAGGAGGTCGAGAAGGGAAGAGGAGATGGATGGGGGAGAGGTCGGCAGGATCTCCGGGGGTCTGGCGGGCCCCCGCCGCGCCGCAGCCCCTGCCGCGCCTCCGAGGTAGAGGCCCGGGACCTGGGGTCGAACTTCTACCTGGTCGAGGCCGACGTGGGCAAGAGGAAGCGCGCCGAGGCCCCGGGCAGGGAGAGTCCCGGACCCTCCGGTGCTCCGATTGCGAAGGACTTACGGCCGGTGCCGTCGACCCTGAGAGGGGACGACGACGACGACGACGACGACGACGACGACGACGACGACGACGACGACGACGACGACGACGACGACGACGACGACGACGACGACGACGACGACGACGACGACGACGACGACGACGACGACGACGACGACGACGACGACGACGACGACGACGACGACGACGACGACGACGACGACGGCGACGGCGACGGCGACGGCGACGGCGACGGCGACGGCGACGGCGACGGCGACGGCGATGACGACGGCGACGCTGCCGCTGACGCTCTGGGGTGCTACCCCCCATGGGGGGGGATCACAATCCCCAGGACCCCCCCTCCCACCCCAGACCCTCCGGTGCTGCGGTCTGTTCGATGCGGGGTGTTGCCAGAAGCGGTCCTGGCCCCAGCGTGTCCCCAGCTGCTCCGCGCAATTTTGCAGCCCCATGGGAGCCCTCCGAGCCCTGTGCGGAGGGGTGCCCTGGCGGCCATCTGGGCCTCACAAGAGATCCTGGGGACACCACGGGCCAGGGACAGTTTGGCAGCACCCGAGCTCGGGCTCCAGACCGCCCGACCCCCTTCCCCCCGGGCCGGCTCTGCACCTCGAACCGTCCGGTGAGGAGGTTCTCTCCCGAGGCCCGAGACCAGCCTCCCGAGGCCAAGCGCGGCGACAGACGGGCCGCCTCGCGGTGTTGGCTCGGGGCTCCGGCTTGCTCGAGGGAGGGCGGGGCCCGGGCACCTGGCCTCGAGCGGCGGCGGGCCGGAGGGGGAGGTGAGAGGGAGGAGGCCTTCTCAGGAGGCGGCGGGGCTCCTCGGAAGCCCTCGCGCCTGCGGAGAGGCTGCCCGCGTCGTCATGGGAGGCTCAGAAGGCGCCCCGGAAGGCCCTTCGAGCCTTCTGAGAAGGGCCGCCCCGTCTGTTTTCAGCCCCAGTCGCCGAGCGCGTCCCACTACTCGCAGAGTGCCTACTCGCAAACGTCCGAAAATACACATCTTCGCTTCGATGTAATTTATCGTAGATCCCCCGCGGCGGATCCAGGCCATTTGCGAGCAGTTATTTTGCGAGTAGTGGAACGCGCTCGTCTACCCAGGCTCACCGCCAAAGCAAGAGCGGGTCACGGCGGCCCGCTGTTTCACAGCAGCTGGCTTCCAGCAGGCCGACGCTCGGGCCGGAGGGGGGGGGGGGCCCTCGGGGAAGGGGCTCTCAGGATGGGAGGCGGATCTCTGGGGCAGGGTCGAGAGGCCCGTGCCGTGCCGTGTCGCGGAAGAGCACGGCGACGAGTGCGTTGGTGGGAAGGCCAGGGAGCACGGCAGGGAAGACGGGGGGAAGGAGGGGCAACGGACGGAAGGCAGTGGGGGGGAGGGTGCGGAGGACGGGGGAGGGCGAGGACACCAGGTATGGGCCAGGTGGCAGATGAGGAGGTGGTGGGCGGCAGGGGAAACGAGAGAGGAGAAAGGAGGATGGAGGAGGAAGCACGGAGGACGGAGGAGGAAGGATGTAAGAAGTATGGAGGAGGAGGAGGAGGCAGCGGGCAGATGACAAACATACCCACGCCGAAGTGCAAGACGAGAACCAGCATGGCACGAAGACCGATTTCATATGCTACGATTGCGGATGCTGCTTCACTTCAGCGGCATCATGGAAGCGGCACAGGACCAAGAAGCATCCCCCCGCCGAGGATCCACAATACTTCGTGAAGGGATCGACCTGCGAATGTTGCAGGACGGACTTCAGGTCACGGGTAAGGCTGGTCAGGCATCTGCGACACCGAAACACAGGATGCATGGGACACTACTTGCAGGAGGTCGAGCCCATGAGTACTAGAGAAGTCGAAGAACTAATAGCACAAGACGTGCATGAGACGGAGAAGCTGAAAGCTCCTGGATGGCGGGAGGGCAAGGCCTTGCAGCCAGCAAAGAAGGCGGACGGCGCGGAGCAACGAGGTATGTCACGACGTGTCGAGAAGGCTGCGCCCCCGATTGTCACCACCGTCCAGCAGGGCACAACTTCAGCAGCACCACGGCATCTCTCCAGTGCCCCCGCCGCCCCGAACGACGTCCATCGCGGATACATCCGCGACCGAATCATCTGGAGCATCTTCGCCAGCGCCGTCCTTGACGCGCAGCTCACCACCTCCATCCAGAGCCACGCAAGTGCAGGTAACATCGGCACGATGAGTACCGACCGCAAGGACCTGGACTTGAGGCTAGGGCAGTCGTTGCAGGGAAGGAGCGCCTGGTACGAGGTTATGGATGCAGTTTCAGTGCTGGTTGTCAGGCCCCCTCTGCCACATGGACCCCTACGGCAGGCGGCGAGGCGAGCGCATACAGAAGTCCCGAATACCCTTGGGGTAGACCTGGGTTTGGTGCCGCCCCACAAAAGAACGTCACAATGGAACACGAGGCGTGGTGGCTAACGATGGACCTTGCGAAGACGGCTAAGGAGAAGCAAGTGCCGATCTTCATCGTGATGCCACCGATGGACGTCGGGTCCCATATCGCAGAGACGACCGAGATGAAACTCGCCATGACAGGATGTACGACGACCAGGCTTGAAACCAGGAGGTGCGTCGTCGCCTACGGGATCGACGTGGGCGCCGACATGGACGCGGCAAAGGTGGCAGAGGCGATTGTTGGTGGCGGCCGAGGCCGCGGCTGCGCGGAGCAGGGCGCCTGCGGCGCCCTCGGCCGCTGGCGTGCGGCGCCTGGCTCCTGCGGAGGGGCCGCCGCCCGCGCCACCCCGAGGCGAGGGAGGCGCTGCTGCGGTGCCCCTCGCCCCACGCGGAGCCTCCGCCCCCCCCCTGCCAGGACCAGGCGAGGGAGGCGTTGCGGCCGCCACCGCGGCCCCGCGGCGCCTGCCCCCCGCGCCGCCGCCCCCGCCACCGGCAGGCTGAGCGGGGCGTGCGGGCGGGGGGGGCCATGGCCCCCCCCCCCGAGGAGGGAAGCAGATTACGAGGTTGCAGCAGCAGCGAGGCACGAGGATCGCGCCCGCGGCCGCGGCCGCGGCTGCGGCTGCGCGGCGGACAGCTCCGGGACTCCAGGAGGCATGAGTGCACATGGGGGAGGAGGAGGGATGCGTGGGAGGGAAAACAAGTAAGGAGAGGACAGACGTGGGAGGGGGAGAGGTATGATCAGGTTCGCTGTGACGAGTCAGGGGGTCGCAGGGGGGCGTCTCCTGCTCAGCCCGCTCCAATCCGAACTCGTTCTCCCCGTGTAGGGGAGGCTGCGGGAGTCCGATTTGCTTCCCTCCTCCCCTCCGATTCCTCTTTCCCGCAAACGTTGCCGCCACCACGGCGGGCCGAAGCAGCCGCAGAACGAAAGAGACTTGCCGTGCGTACTTCTCATGATGTCGTGTTTCTGCGTGCTCCGTGTTTCAAGCCCTGAGGCTCACCACCCTCAAGAGCACCCCAACCCAACCCGAAGGCCCCGATTTCGGGGAACATTGAACAAACACATGGAACCCGTACCCCCTCGACCCGAAATTCAGGTCAAATGCGGATCTTCGGGGTGGGCTGGGGTGGTCTGGGAGGTGGTCAGAGGCCCGTGCCCACGTCACGCTCGTGCCTGCTCCGACCGGGTGCTCTGCCCCCTGCGCGGCCGCACCATTGCGAGGCTTGCGCCGCCCAGCTCGCCCAGCTCAACCCGTACGTGACCGTTACGGTCCACTCCGGGCCCATCACGGACGGCCTCTTGGCAGGCGCGCGCGCGCGCGCTCGCGGCCCAGAGGGGCACCCAGAGTCCCTTTGCTGTCCAATCTGGCCAGTCGTAGGTCGGGCGTGTCCCTCTGCAGGAGCATGTGTTGTGGTCTGTTTTATTTATCGTCCAAAATCCGCCTGTGGGGGGACCTGCCCGACCTCGGGCCAGTCCGATCCCATTCGGGTGCGACGTGCCGACGATCCGATGCGGCCCGATGCGTGCCCAACGTGGTTTTGCACCCTAGCGCAGCCGCTCCGGTTCGATCTCAGTTCCGTGCCGATGCGGCCCGATCCGACGCCCAGTTCGATCCGATCCGATGCGAAGCTGCCCGATCCTGGCCTCGCGGCCGTCTGGGGCCCCCTGGAGGCCTTCGGAGCCCTCGGTCCGCGTACACTTTGTGGGCATCGCACAGCGTCGGCGTCTCCAGAGCCTTCGTCTAAGTCGGGCACGTCCCTCCACAGGAGGGGCATTCGAAAATAGTCAAGAATAGTCTGGGGATAAATTTTCGGCCAAATTGTTTCAATTGTTTGAGCATTTTTTGACTATTTCGATTCTCTTCCTCCAAAATCTGCCTGCAGGGAGACATGCCCGACCTCAGCCTTCGTCGGCCCTCGGTTCCGAAGAGCCGCGCACCGAGGGGCCGCGCTGGAGCGAGCCCCGAGGGAGTCCGGCCTCGTGCTCGGAGGCCCTCTTTCCAGGGGGCCCTCTCACCGTCGAGCGCGCGTGCGAAGGGGGCCCCCGAGGGCGACGGCGACGCCGCCCGCAGGGGCCGGGAGAGGGCACCGATCCGCGGTTCCGGGCCGTCGCGGACGGAGCCCGGAGGCCGTCGCCGCGAGGCGTCCTGGCGGTGGCGGTGGCGGTGGCGCGGGGGCGCGGCGAGCGGATCTCGCGCTCTGCCCGCCCCGTGGGGTGCCCCCGTGGCCGCGGCTGGATCTTGGATCTGCCTCGCGCATCTGCCCTCGACCGCACCCTCGGGGCAGGCCGGAGGGCCGGCTTCGGGGCCTGGGAGCCAGGGCGAGCCTCGTCGGCCCGAGGTGCGGGGCCACTGCAGGCGGCGACGCCCACCAGCGGGGCGCCGCCGAGAGCCCCACCCGCGGAGCCGCTCGGGGCCGCGGGCTGCCGAGCGCTCTGCGCGGGGCGTCTGGCCGGGTCGGGGCGCCGCGACGTCGCGGGCTCGTGGGCGCCAAAAGCGTGTGCGCATCCGCGGCCTCGCAGGCCGGGCCCCTGGGCCGCGACCCGCGAGCGAACACACCACGGCCAGTCTGCGTACGTCGGCGCCACGAGAGTCTTGAGCCGCTTCGTGCTTCCACGAAGCCAAGTTTGAGAGGCGGGAGCCCCATTGCGAATTCGAGCTGAGAAGGTGCCGACCTCTATTTTCGAGGAAGTCCTGGGCGGGAGCGCCATTTCGAAATCGAACCCGAAAGGCTCCGAATTCTGGTTCGGAGGAAGTCCTGGGCGGGAGCGCCATTTCGAAATCGAGCCAGAAGGGTTTTAAATTCTAGTTATGAGGTCGTCTTGGGCGGGAGCGTCATTTCGAAGTCGGACCTGAAATGTTCGAAATCTTTCGAAATTATGATTTGAGGAAGTCTCAAGCGAAACCGTTTTTTCGAATCGCCCACACCGTCTGGCATTCGCAATTCAAGAATTGTCTTACAAGAGATTTCGGGCATATGGTTTTCGCTCGAGACTTCCTCAACAAAACAATATCGACTGGATTTCGAAGCCATCGGGCTCGAATTCGAAAGGCAGGTTCCTCCCGAGACTTGGGCAACACAGTGCTTGAACAGAGCATTGTGCTGGGGCCTGCGGCCTCACGGGCCCACTTGACGTCTCCTCTCCTTGTCGCGGGCGCAGCCCTACTGACGACGTCGTATTGGGCTCCGTCTCCTAACGGGAGGCGCTGCATTTTGGGCCATGTTTCGGGACGATCGAAATGGGTACGGAAAGGTGGGGTACGATGCCCAACAGCAGTTCTAGTTCATTTTGAGCAGGACTTGTTGCCCCCGCCACCGCGGACGTGGTTCATTGAAGACAAGGAGGCGCCCGCCCAACAGCGGCTGCTGTCTGTTTTGGGCAACATTTGTTGCTGGGCATTGTGCCCATTTCTCCGTACTCATTTCGGGCGTCCAAAGAATTGTTGCAGCGGCGAAGTATTCCAATGCGTGGGTTTTTTGGCATGCCCCTCTGGGCCTCATGGGGTGCCCCCGTGGCCCTTGCTGGATCTGTCTCGAGCGTCTGCCCAGAACGCACCCTTTTGAGAGGCTGGAGGGTCGGCTTCGAGGCCTGGCAGCCACCTACGCCCAAAGGATTTGCGGGATTGATCTTCATCACTGACTATTGCCCATTGGCTGCGGCTGTGAACGGCGCCATGCTTTCGGTGACACCGGCTTTCCGAATGCAGAATTCGCACGTTGTCGGCGGAAGTTTCTTTTTGTGACACGTGTAGTAACATAGTATCGTTGATTAGTCTTTTGGCGAACTAAAAATTACACCATTGACGAGGGCGATGCATGGTAGCAACATGTTCAACCGCGAGTGCCTTCAAACGGGGGGAGTCCGAGGTATTGCGCATCGGCAGGCTTGAAACCATTGGCACGCGCGGGAGCGCAATGCAGACCACGCCCGTGATGATGGGCGGCACAGGGTTTTGTTTAAGGCAGCCGAGTTGTATTATATTTTGCCGAGGAACTCGCTTCGGAAGACACGTTGCAGGCAGTGCGATGCTTGGTTCGCACATTGGTGCCCTAGCAGGGCCCCAGGTTTTGTCAAAGACAGGGGGCGACGAGGAGGACGAGGAAGACGACGAGGAGGACGAGCGAAGGAGCGAGGGAGGAGGGGGGAGTAGTAGGGGGAGGTGAGGAGGGGGAGGAGGAGGAGGAGGAGGAGGAGGAGGAGGAGGAGGAGGAGGAGAATGAGGGAGGAGCTCGCCTCCGCACAATTTCCCTTCCCCTATGCGTTCCGCCCCCCCCCATCCCATGCCTGTCTCGATCGCGCCCCCTCCTCTGGGTCTCGTCCACCCTCCCGCCCCCGCTGCCCCGCCCCTGGCCCCCCCTTCCACGCTGTCCCTCCGCCATCGCTGCCCCCCCCCCCCGCGGAGGCATGTCCGTGGCGGTGTTCACCGACACTAGCCAGTCGGACTTGCTCAGGCTGTGCCCCGCCTCGCCTTCCCTAGCTCGGCTCCGCTGGCTGCCACCACGGCAGCCGCTCCTCGTCAGCAGGAGGCCGGCAGGCAGGCAGTGCACCTTGATGACCTTCTTGCGTCAGAGGCCCAGCGGCGCCTTGGAGCTTGGACGCACGCGCAGCCTCGTGACGTTTTTGTTGCTCCGCGTTTCGCGTTGCCTGCCCGTGCCGCTGTCGCTCCTTGCGTGTGTGCGATCCGCCACCTATTCATCGCAGACGCGATCGGGCAGACGCCATCGGAGAGCCACAGCCGCCTCCTCGTCCTTCTGGAAGCGCAAGCACTTCTGGCAACTGGTTGATGCAGTTCTCTCGGCTGTGGGCGATTTCTGGTTCCCCCAAAGTGTTGTCGAAACGGCTGGGGGGGGCATGGGCCCAGCATGTTCCCCAATTGTGGAATTCGATGTGCGAGATGCAGGTGTTGATTTTGAGGACGCAAGGGGCACACGTAAGCATCGATGTGGTGTGTGTGTGTGAGTGCGCGCGTGTGTGTGTGTGTGTGTGTGTGTGTGTGTGTGTGCGTGTGCGTGTGCGTGTGCGTGTGCGTGTGCGTGTGCGTGTGCGTGTGCGTGTGCGTGTGCGTGTGTGTGTGTGTGTGATGTGTGTGTGTGTGTGTGTGCGTGATGAGTGTGTGTGTGTGTGCGTGTGTGCGCGCGTGTGTGAGGGCCCTGGTCGTCGCACGTACGCATGCGACATCCAAGGGGGGAGGTAATGGCTCGGGTGGTGTGAGGGGCGCAAGGGGCGTACGTAAGCATCGATGTTGTGTGTGTGTTTGTGTGTGTGGGTGTGTATGTGTGTATGTGTGTGTATGTGTGTGTGTGCGCGCGTGTGTGTATTGTGTACGTTTGCCTGTGTGTATGCGTGTGTGCCTGTGTGTGTTGCGTGTGTGTGTGTGTGTGTGAGTGTTTGCGTGTGTGTGTGTGTCTTTGTGTGTGTGTGCGTGTGCGCGTGCGCGTGTGTTTGTGTGTGTGTGTGTGTTTGTGTGTGTGTGTTGCTGCGCGCGTGTGTGAGAGCCCTGGTCGTCGCACGTACGCATGCGACATCCGAGGGGGGAGGTAATGGTTTGGGGCAGCTTTGAGAATCTGGCACGGGGCGTGACATCTAGCAACCGCGGCAGACCGCCATGGTTGACATTTCTGTTTGCGGAGGCAGGGGGGAAAGTTGAAGCGGGCAGGGCAAGGGATACGGGAAAGAGTAGAATGAGGCGGTGGAGGATGGGGAGCCGGAGGGGTGATGAGGATGAGCTCGAAAAGGCGGACGCAGAGAGGGAGCGGAATACGGAGAGAGAGGGGGGATGTGCGAAGAGGATGAGAGAGAAGCCGAGGAAGCAGCGCAGGAGTGCCAGAAGTTAACGACCGCAACTGGTTGAATCAAGCATGTGTCCGTGACCCCAGGGTGATAACACGGTATGTTTCGGCCTGGTGGTCGCACGTCTTGTCTCCAACCTTGGAACGAGGAACCAGGAGCTAAGGGCTGGCTTGAGGGCGCAGGAGGCAAATATTCGCAGCCTGGTGGCCACCAAGGCGGCCGCTGGATACTGTCGAATCTATCCAGCTGTTTGCGGCAAGCCCCGCTACAATACCAGCCCAGCATTTTTGGTGGTGACACTTGGTGGGGGCATTGCAGGCCGTCACGTGCGACACTTCGTGTCCCCAGGCTTGGGAGAGCCGTGATGAGGATGATGAGGAGTATGAGGGTGATGGCGATGAGAAGGAGCAAGAGGAAAAGGAAGAGCAAGAGAACAAAGTGGAGGAAAAAGAGAACGGCCATGTGACACCATGCGAGGAGCTCTCACGGAACTCATTCGGACCGTCTTGGGGCTGTGTTGGTGTCTTGTGTGGCAGTGGGGTCGTCTTGGGGGGGCCATCTTGGCGCCGTCGACGGGCCTTTCAAGGCCGTCTTGGGTCCATCTGGAGACACTCTTGGGCCGTCTTGGATGCCCCTTGGGTCGTCGTGAGGTCCTCTTGGGCCACCTTTGGGGCCTCTTTGGCCGTCGTGGGGCCATCTTGGAGGCTTCTTGGGCCGTTTTTGGCTGACGGACGCCCGGAACGATGAGAGCATGAACATCCGTAGCAAACCATGACGACAGCAATGATGTTGGTGTCGTCGGACCCTGTGGAGTCCTCTTGTTGCCATTTTTGTTGGTTGCGTGGAGGCATCTTGGCTGCCTTGAAGCCGTGTGGGGGCGCCCCAAGGCCGTCTTGGGGCGTCGTCGCGGCACCTTGGGCCATCGTGGTTGCGTTGGTTGCTTGGTTGCGCCGTCCTGAGAGCTCGGGGCGCCGACACATAGCTTTCTACGAGAGATCGTGGCCTCCTGAGCGCGGACCCATCGTTTTGCACGAGGGATCGTGGCCTCGGAGTCACGGGGGGGGATGCACGCGGCGGTCCGCTAATGGAGGCGGGGGTTAGTCACGTAATTATTGGCTTAGAGAAATCCCAACAGACCGCACCTGACATTCTACCAAGCGCGCCAGGGATATAGGTACACCTGTATATCTTTATACGGACATACCTACAACTATATATGCATACACATGTGAAGGGGATGGAGGAGCAGAGCACAAATGATATAAGGATGGTTATGAGGATCACCACGGGGTTGTTGTGAAGGAGTCGCAACAGCGGGATCGCAGTCAAACGTAGGTGGGGTTGCCACACCTTGCGGCTTACGTGGCGCAGGAGGGTATTCTACACCTTTCGATTGCATTAGAAATAAGCTCCTAAGCCAATGTTTGGAGGATTTCTCGAGCGGAAGTGTCGTTGTGGTGAACGGTGGGAATTTTGAATACGTCGGGCTTCAATGTGGGGGGATATCTGACGCGAAGCGGCTGGGTTTCCTACGAGCGACGTCCAATATCATTAAATTCCATTGTTGTGTGGGAGGATTTATGGTATCATGTTGACGGCCCATTGTGTTTGTGGGTGGTGACGTCGGGATCTGCGTCAGGGGGGCGCATGATTTTCTAAATGTTGAGAATGTCCTGAGCGAAACGGCCAGAAAGGGGGAGGCAACGGCTTCACATTCATCGTCTCTGAGCTCGATAGATTCCTTCGGAGAGGTGCGTGCGTGTATATATATATATAGTATATGTATATATATATATATATATATATATATATATGCGCATATCTATATACATAAATGTGTGTATGTACACATGCACATGGGTGGCACATGGGAACGGAGTCGACTGCGCCAACATTGGCGCGTAAGTTGCCCGCGTACGGTCGCGCGTATGCGTCCTCGTCTCCAATGTAGCGTGCCGCGCTGGCGGCCCGCGCAAGCCACCACGTCAGGTCGCCATGCCATTTCGCGTAAGACCCGTTTCTTTCGTCGCTCACTCGTGTGTACAGTCGGCCTTGATTAGTAGGTCGACCTTGTCAAATCAAGGGTACCCTTGTGTCCTGTGTCTCGCGACCCATGCCTCCTACATTCCTATGGCAATGTGGCCCTTGGAAGGGTCTTGAGTCCTCTCGCGTGTCCTGTCCAATCAAGTCCGACTGTACCTTCCCCATCTCCGTTCCTGTTTTTCTACGGTGCTCCCCGGCAGGTTCAACGAGGTGTGCCGCTCGCGCACGCCGGCGGTCGGCTTCGTTGCGGCGGGGCGGCCGGGGGGCTCCACAAGGGATCGACGGGCCACGCTGTCTTCGTGTTCCTCCCCTCGTTCCCTGCCTGCCAGCCCCCCTTGCCTGTCCCTTAGGATGCTCGTTTGGGGGACCTTCCTGGGGTCCACCTGACGGGCCTGTTCGATTCGAGTTCGACCCCAGTTTGACTCGAGGTCGACTCGGATCGACGGACGTTCGACGCAGCTTCCGACGCACGAGCGGAGCGAGCGGCTCCAGGAAGGTCCCCAGAAGAAGCATGCAGTGTCCCGCAGTCTCGCCGACCATCGCGCCGCCCCATCGCGTCGCCCCTCCTCGGCAATCCCTTCCCTCGCGCTTTTGGAACCGAGTGGCTCCTTCTGTGGAAGAGGGGCGGCCGAAAGAATTGATGGCCACTCCGCGACATGCTTTGGACTGTTGCAGCAGGCCCGTTGGTGGAAGACCAGCTGTCCCGGCGCCGCGCAGAACTTACCTCGCGATGTTTCGGATTCTTTCCCAGTGCAGGGTTGGCGTCGGACCCAGTCGCCTCAAGCAATCAGCTCGCGACACAAGATGAAAATACATCCTTCTGTTGGAAGCCCTCTTTCTGTCCCCTTCTGTCCCCTCTCCCCCGCCCTCTTTCGCTCCCCGCCCCTGCCTGCCCGGGCAGCATTCCACGCAAGACGATCGCACGTTTGCCCGGGTGCCGGAAGCACGGGCCAAGTTTGTCCCCCGAGTTCTAGATTGGCACGGCCTTCGGTCCGATCGGGAGCAGCGTGGCGTAGGCTGCGCCATCGCAAGCCAGCCCCCCCCCCATTCCCCGTGGCTACGCTGCGGCGCTGCTCGACTCGGCGGCTGTACCTGCGGACCAGGGAGCCAAGGAGGTCGACGCTCCCAACCCTCGAGGCCCAGGCCCTGGATCGCGTGCCCTGCCGACAGAGGTGGATTCTCTTGCATGCGGAGGGGCCGAAGCGTGTTGATGACATGTCGCAGGCCTAGAAGTTGACACCAACATCATTATCGGCGGTGTGCCTCCAGCGAGAGAAGAAGATCCCGATCTCGGTGATGGTGGTAATATTCTGGCTTCCAAGGTGACCGACATATTACCACCAGCACCGAAATCTAGGATCATCTTCCCCCTGTGGAGGCAACCCCCTGTGTTGGTGTTGGTGCCCATTTCAAGGCCTCCAGGTATATCCGTGTCATGTGCCGCGACGTCCGCCCGAATGAAGTGGTAACACGTGCCAGAAGTAGTGCTGCGGCCCTTTCTACGGGGCGGCCCTGCCGCCGCTGCGGTCCACGGTCGCCTTGACCTGGCGAAGGAGGTCTGCGAAACGGCTTGGTGAGATGCAGCCCGCGACGGGGCGCCTTCTGCTGGAGCTTCTGGCTCAGATTATGCATGCAGACCAGCGCCAACGATCGATGACCAATTGCGGACCCTGCCTCTGCATGTCCACTCAACGCCAGGATATCGGACATTCCCGCTGGGGGCTATTTGGCTGCAGACATATTTCGAGTTCTGACCCCCAGCCGTCGCTTCTGAAACCTGATCTGCAGGGGTGGGGCGTGCATGTGGCTGCCAAGACGAGCGCCCGTGTTTTGGCGGAGAGCCTGCGCGAACTCGGCGGTGCGCGATATTGGGCGGGGGAGCGGTTGCATGTCCGCGCCCTGGGCACACCGCCACCATCCGCGCCGTTCAGCGCCCCAGCGCGCCCCGCAGCGCGCCGCCGACGGCGAGCAGACTCGCGGGAGCGGCGGCGGCGCCGACAGGAGGGGCGAAGGGCGGCCTCTCCGCACACGGCGTTGGAGAGCAGGCAGCCGGCCCCGCCAGCCGCGCCGCCACGGCACGGGGCGCGGCGGCCGCGGCTCGGGCGGCCGCGGGCAGCAGAGGCTTCGGGGCGCTGGCGGGCAGCACGTCTCCTCGGCGCCGCCCGCGCCCGCCAAGCCGCGTCGCGGGCAGCCAGCGCGGCGGCATGGCAGCAGCCCCCTTTGCCGGCCCCGCGGGCGCGCGCAGCGCCGCGGCGGGCGCATGGCGGCGTGCAGCCCGAGGCGGCGACGCCGCCGTCGCTGTCGCCGGCCGCCACGGCACAGGCGCGGCCGCCGCGATTCCCGCGCGTTTTACACGGCGCGCGGCGGCACAGTACCGTTTTGCCTGCGGGCCGCTCGTCGATGCGCGTTGAACGGGCCGGGCGGGCAAGCTGCAAGCGGGCGCTACCTTCGGGGAAGCGTAAGACTCGAGTAAGCCGGAACTCGGGTTTGCCGAGGTTTCTTGACGAGCGCGTCCTGGATTTTGGTGGCCCCGTTTCCGTGGGACGTGTGCAACGGGATTTCGCGTCACATTTCAGATTGGGCCTCGTCATGTGTTGTGATGGCCCCGTCAGGCCAGCCCGAGCCCCCCATACCCGAGCCTTACGCTCCCCCCCGATACCTGACTCAGGGGATGCCAAGCGTCAAAAAAAACCAAAAGAACAACGAAACTAATAAACAAACAAAACATGGAGAGGGGGGCTTCAGGGCCGACCTCGGATGCCCAAAGGCTGGCTTTCGGCCTCGCGCCGTGGCGGGGAGGTGAGGCCGCCGGGATGCCTCACCGAGGGCACGTCGTCCCGGGGGCATGTCTGGGCCTTCCCGTCTTCAGCAGGATGGCGGCCGCGTTGAAACTCACGCAGAGGCGCATGCGCACCTCGCAGATCACGGGGCTCCCTGAGGCAGGGGCCGCGGCGGCCGCTGCGAGGCCCGACGGGAGCTGGCGCACGGCGAGAGTCACGCGGCTTCGGCCGCCTGCTCGCGAGCCGCAGCGTTCCGCGGCCGCGCGCGCGCCCCGTCATGCTCCGAGCGCCTGCAGCGTCAGCTTTCGAATGTGTTCTCGCATTGCTCGGATGCGGCACACAAGTTGGGCCTAAACTCGGCTCGTACATCGGACATCTTCATCAATGCCGAGGTGTGGGGGCTGGGATCGGGCCATCATCATCAACATTATCATCCGCATCTCTCCGTTTCACTCCTCCGCCTCCCTTGGCTCCTCTCTCCCCCTCGATTCTTCCCTTTTCTCATTATTCGCCCTCCTCCCTCCTTGCTCCTAGGTCATACCCCTCTCTGATGCGTTTAATTTTTATTCGCGCCGCGAAATGGAGACAGAGGTAAGTCCACGGTTGTCGGTTTTACGTTCTGCACTCCCCATTTCTTGACTATGGGGTTCTTTCTATTAGTGGGACGCCCGTACCTCACCCTCATTCACTAACTTCCGTTTTGCCCCTTCTTATTCACATTCAGACTCATTCATACTCACACTCGCTCAGACTGACCGTAGACGCTCAGATCCACTCGAACTCAGGCTCACTCATACTCAGACTCACCCGTACTCGGACCATTCACGCTCAGATCCGTTCATGTTCATCTTTGGCATACTCTAACCCAGACACAGACGACCAACACTCTGCTCATTCACGCTGAAGTTCACGCATCTTCGGACCCACACTCAGGCTTACCCACACGTTGCCACTCATCAGAGTGAGGGATGGGGGCGAACCGTCTTACTTCTTCCCTGCACGCGCGTGGCTGGACGGAGCCCTCGGGCAATACATGGGGGCCATATTTGGGGCAATGCCTGGATGCTTGGGGGCAACACATGGGGCTATGCTTGGGGGCAGAACATCGGGGGGGGGGGCAATACATGGGGGCAACTCATGGGAGCGATGCCTATGGTCAACACATGGGGGCGATGCTTGGGGACAATGCTTTCGACCCCGCCGCCGCCCTCGTACTCCTATCCGTAAATGCGAGATTCTACGCACTCAGATCCAATCGTTCCCCGCTCCTCACGCTCAGACTCACTCATGACCACCGCGATGTAACAAATATTACATGCAGGCACCCTCTGGGAAAGCCGCCAGGAGGTGTTACACTGGCCCGGTCGCGCTCAGATGGGGGGATGTCTCGAGCGAAACGCTTGTCTGGCTTTCCGCCACTCCTCTCACATCAGAGCCCCCAGATCACCGCGATGCAGCAGGCATAGCACAGCACTCGGGCGCCCCAATGGGGGAGCCGCCATGGGTTGTTGCACGTGCCCGTTCGCGCCTAGATTACAGGGATGTCTCGAGCGAAACGCTCGTTTCGGCCACTCGGCTCTTATGCTCACTGCGATCTTCCAGGCATGCAGGCATACATGTGTCTATATAGGAGTGTGTGTGTATACATGTGTATATGCATATATGTATGAATGTATTGATGGATTGATGCATGTCTATATGTATGCATGCCAATATGTATGTTTGCATGAACGGATGGATGTAGTTATGTAGTCTGTATACATGTGTAAGTATGTATGTATACGCGAGTGTATACATGGATTCGTCTATGTATATGAGTATGTATTGATGTACGTTTGTATGTACGTATGCATGCATGTATGTATACCTGCATGTATGCATGCATGTATGTATGTATGACTGTGTGTATGTTCGCATGTATGTATGTGTGTATGTGCGTAGGCATGCATGCATGGGTATGTGTCTGTGTGTATGTATGCATGTAGTATTCATGTATGTATCTCTGTAGGTGGCAAGGTCAGTGTGTATGTATGGATGCATGGAAGTACGTGTATGTATGCATGCATGCCTGTATGCATGCATATGCATGCATGTGTGTATGAGTATGTATGCATGCACGCGTGCATGCATGAATGTATGTATGTGTGCATGTATGTGTGTGCATGTGTGGATATATGCGTGCATGAATGTGGGTGTATGGGTGTGTGTATGTATATGTGTATGCATGCATGTGTGTATACATATATATATATATATATGTATATATATATATATGTATATGTATATGTATATGTATGCATGCATGCATGCATGTATGTATGTATGTATGTATGTATGTATGTATGTATGTATGTATGTATGTGTATATATATATATGTATGTATGTATGTATGTATGTATGTATGTATGTATGCATGCATGCATGCATGCATGCATGCATGCATGTATGTATGTATGTATGTATGTGTGTATGTGTGTATGTGTGTATGTGTGTATGTGTGTATGTGTGTATGTGTGTATGTGTGTATGTGTGTATGTGTGTATGTGTGTATGTGTGAGTGCGTGCGTATGTGTGCAGGCGTGTATGCATACACACGCACTCACACATGCAAACCCGAGGCGGACACCCTCCCTCCTAGGGCGCCCCCCGTGGAGGTCGAGGTGGCGGCTGCCGCGGAGGCAGCCGTGGGCCCGCCGGCGGCCACGGCGGCGGCCGAGGCCGAGGCGGACACCCTCCCTCCCGGGGCGCCCCCGGTGGAGGTCCAGGCGGCGGCGGCCGCGGAGGCGGCCGCGGGCGCGCCGGCGGCTGCGGCAGGGGCTGAGGCGGCGCAGCTGGTAGCAGCCCTCCCTCCCGGGGCGCCCCTGGTGGAGGTCGACGAGCCGGCGGCGGCGGCGGCGGCAGCGGCGCGCACGCACCACCTTGCCCTGGTGCGTGCGGTGGTGCGGGCTGGCGGCCGCGCTGCCGAGGTGGGGCTGGCATCCCACCTGCGCGTCCCCCCCCCGGGGGGGAGCGCCGGCAGCTGCAGTGGCGGCTGGAGGCCGCGCTCGGCCGCCTGCCGGACCAGGAGCTCGCGGAGCTCATGGGCCTCATGGCGGCCGGCATCGGCGCGGCAGGGTCGCTTAGGCAGGCGGCGCGTCGCCGCGGCCGAGGGCTGCCGGGCCTGAGCGGGGCTGCGCCGGACGCGGGCGCCCCCCGTGGGCCCCCTTCCCCCGCCCCTCTTCCCTCCCCGCCTTTTCGCGCCTTTGTCGTTCATCTGTCGTCCGTCGTTCGTCGTCGTGTCGTGTCGTCACCCGCACTCTCCCACTGTGCATGCGTGCGTATGCATGTATGCGCGCAAGTATGCGTATCTATGTATGTATGTGTATATATTTAGGTGTGTGCATACACGCATGCGTGTACGTACGCATGTATGGATGTATGCACGCGCGCGCATGTCCGTATGTATGTATGTATCTATGTATATATGTTTGTATGTATGTATGTGTGTATGTGTATGTATGTATGTATGTATGTATGTATGTATGTATGTATGCATGCATGCATGCATGCATGCATGCATGCATGCATGCATGCATGCATGCATGCATGTATGTATGTATGTATGTATGTATATATATATATATGTATCTATGTATGTATTTTGTGTGTATAAATGGATTGAGGTATGTATTTGTTAAGTTATGTAAGTCTTCATTAGTTATGGATTTATGTATGGTTTTCAGATTCCGACGTGCGCGGCCAAGCTGTACGCGCAGCAGCTGCGAGGCCGCCAAGCCACCGAGTCCCTTACCCGATGGGCCGCTCTCCAGCACCGCGACGATGCCGCAGGCGAAGGCGGCGTCGGCGAAGGCGGCGAAAAGGCGCAGTTCCCCGCGGCGCCGCGCCGCCAGCTCCCCTGGGGAGCGCTCGCATTACGCCGACTTGGCCGAAGCCTCACGCCGACTTGGCGGTGACCCAGCGGGCCCCAACGCTGCCAGCATGCGCCACACCTCCGCTGAGTGCCACGGCGTCACTCCGACCGACCGCTCGACCAAGCTCACCGCGACCGCCTGGACGTCGTCGAGTGTCACCGCCGAGCCGCCTGCTCCGCCAGCTGCAGACGCCGAGGGCGCCGCCACCAGCTCCGCCGCCGCCGACGCCGAGGCAACCGCGGGGCCACCGCCCACGCACGGCTGCCGCCCCCGCCTCCGCCGCCGGCGGGGGGCGAGGCCGTCCGCCCACTAGTCGTCCAGGTCGGACCCGAGGTCATCCGATGCCGCGATGCATGGCAACGCAGGCGCCGCTCCAGCCGTGAGCACGGGACCTGTCTCAGGGCAGCTTGGGAAGCCCGCGCGCACGGCCTCCGCCGCCAGCCTTTTCCGTCGTCGAACACTTTGTCCCCCATCGCGTCGGGCACCTCCGCCTCCGCCGCCCTTTTCGGGCCCAGGGCCCAAGGCGGCAGCTCAAGCAACAGACCCAGCGCCAGCCGCCGCGGGAGCAGCAGCGAGCGGCGCCTCCGCGGCGCGCCGTGGTGCGAGGGCACGGCGGCGCCGCCGCCGCCGTTCCGTTTTCGCCGTAGAGGTGGCGGGCGGCCCAGCAGGCGGCGCAGGAACGGCGGGGGCCGCAGCGGCAGGCGCCGCCTCGGCCGTAGGCATCGGCCCCCCTCCGCACGCGAAGAGCGTGGCGGAGATGGCCGAGCGCGCAACAGCCTCGACGGTGCGCCGCGGCGCCCAAGCCAGCACGGCCCACATGGCGGCCTCCAAGGGGGTACCGTGGGCCGAAGGAGCGCCTCTGGGCCCCGACATCCTGCAGCCGCGACTCGCCGAGCAGGGGGCGTGCGCAGGCGAGGCCATGCGACCGCTTGAGCCAACATGGTATGCAGGTGTGTATGTTCGTGTGCGTGTGTCTATGTATGTACGCATGTATGTGCGCATGCATGCATGCATATATATGTGTGTAGGTTTGCATGGCCGCATATGTGTATGTACGTATGTATGCACGAAGGTATGCATATGTGTATGCATGTATGAACTAGATGTATGTCTATGTATATGTATCGGTGTACGTGTGTGTGTGTGTGTGTGCATGCAGGTTTGTATGTAGGCGTATGTATGTGTAGGTGTGTGTATGGGTGTGTGTATGTGTTTGTGTATAATTGTATGCACGCATGTGTTCATGCATGCCTGCATGCGTGTACGCGCGCATGCATGTATGTATGTGTGTATGTATGTATGAATGGACGTATATATGTGTGTATGTATATTTGTATGTCTGTATGTATGTATGCATGTGTGTATGAATGTACGTAGTATGTGTGTAAGGTTATGTGTCTGGTTTGCGTATGTATGGTTAGATGTATGTATGTATGTATGTATGTATGTATGTATGTATGTGTGTATGTAAATGTGTACGGATGTATGTGTGCTTGTATACGTGTACATGTAAACATCCATGCGTGCATGTATGTAGTTAGTTCTGTGTGTGCCTGTATGGTGATACTTATGGCTTGTGTGTATGTACGCATGGATGTATGATTGTATGTTTGTGTGATTGTATGTACGTATGCAGGCATGCATGTATGTGTGCATGCATGTATGTATGTATGCATGTATGTATGTATGTATATATACCTATATTTATGTACCTTTGGCACCAAGCGGGGGGGAACCCAGATTGTGGGATGTCTCGTGTGGAACCGATTAGTTTCTCTCGTCTTGTGGCTTTTCCCAGAGCCGCATGATCACCGCGATGCAGCAGGCATTCGTTATGGCACTTCAGGAGGGGACCGCCAGGGAGTAAGACATGTGCCCAGTTGCTCCCAGATGCGGGGATGGTTCGAGCGAGACGTTGGTTTTGCATCTCCCGTTTCTTCCTTTAATGCAGAGAGCCCCATGATCACCGCGATGTGGTACACATAGCAGCTGGGCATCCACAGGGAGATCCGCCAGGATGGACACAGTCATGCCCACATCTACTTCTAGCTAAACAACCCAAGCCGGTTGCACCCTGTCAGCCGTAGTCAATCTCGCTCGCACTCAACCCCGCTCATTTCCGACACTCATAGAAAGACACTTGGCTAGAACAGATATACACATAATAGGGACCCCGGCGTCGAGCGCTTTCTCCGATTGTTTGCGTTAGCGCCACGGCGCCAGAAAATCTGTTTCCGACGATTCTCCAGCTGTCTCCGGCCATTCCGCCACCGCGCCAGCGCAGCATCCTTGGTGGCGTGGCAACTACTCGAGACAATGTGCACAGGGCACCGTGGCGGCTTTCGGGCGAGGCACAACCTCCAATCGCGGGGACTTCGAGCGGGCGGCGGCTTGCAAGTCCAGCACGGTGTGCGGGCAACGCCGCGGGCGCGAGTCCCGAGGCTGTTCGGGAATCTTTCCTTGGTACTTAGCGTGAACGTCCCACGTCCCCGCGGGCCACCGGATCGCCCGCGCCGTGCTTGTCGGCGAGGGCGGTGGGCCGCTGGACTCCAGGGACCCGCCCCCGAGGGCCTCGCGGTGGTCGCCCGCGCTGCGTTTTGCACGAGGGCGGTGGGCCTCCAGGTGTCGGCTCGGTGCGGGTTCAGTGCCTGTCCGAATCTGGGTGTTCAGTCCGCTGATTGGGAGTCCTCCTCCTCCTCCTCCTCCTCCTCCTCTCCCTCCTCCTCCTCTGGTCCCTGGCCTTGCCTACGAAGACTTTCCAGCAGTTGCCGCTGAAAGCGTGGGTCGGACGCAGAGGGGAGACAGGGGAAGCGGACAGTACGACATCTGTTGCGGGCAGCTGGTTTCGGCCGCGCTGTTGGGCGCCTTCTTCGATACGGTGTCGCCTTTTTGGCGCCGCCGGGAAAGTCAGCGATGCGAGTTGATTTAAGAGCCCCCTCATGTACTACCCCCCCTCCGTCAGAATCGACAGCAGTTGCCACCTAAAGCACGAAGGCTTTCCCGCACTTGCCGGCTAAAGCACGTGGGCGCGCTTTCTTTTAGTACAGCCTCTAGCCAGGTGCTCTCTCTCTCTCTCTCTCTCTTCTCAGAGGCAGGAGACGAGGGCCCTGAG